GCTGCCGCAGCTGGGGCTGCACTGTCATCCCTGCCTCCAAGGGGACCCTTGGCAGAGCATGAAGGGAAAACAGGAAGAGGGACTCCAGCCCCCGCCCAGACCCACTCTCCTGAACCTGCACAGCCCTCTGTGCCTTCCCTGGCAATCCCCCTGACTTACTCCACACAGGACCAGCAAAGACATATGTTCATTGCAAATCTCTAAAAGGATGAATTTGTAAAAAGCCTTTTAGCCATCAGAAACCAGAGGACATTATGCTAAGTGAAATAAGCCAGTCATAAAAGGACAAATACTGTGTGATTCTACTTCTGTGAGGTTCTTAGAGTAGTCAGATTTATAGAGACAGAAAGTAGAAGGATGGGTTCCAGGGCTGGGGGAAGGGGATGCGGAGTTAGTGTTTAATGGTGCAGTTTTGGTTTGGAAAAATGAAGAGCGTTCTGGAGATGGGTGTTTGCTGCTCAGTCGCGTGAATGTACTGAATCGCCAGTGAGCTGTACACTAAAAGTGTTAGGATGATAACTTCCATGTTGTATGGGTGTTATCACAACTAGAAAAAAATTCTGGAAAAAAATTAAGCCCCTCTCAGATTTCTTCAGAGGCTGTGGGAACTCATGTGGATTTGGTTTAATTACAGTGGAGTGACCTCTTAATCAGGGTTCGAGTTAGTGTTTAAGTTGCAAAGTCACCCTTGCAAAATTGCTGTGTGGCCCAGAGAGGAGCTGAGCACGGGCCCAGCGCAGCCAAGGGTCCTGCAGCATGGGGACAAACCCTGTTCTTTGGAGCAGGAGATGAATTTGTTGATTTGAGTGCAGGGGTCCCAGCACAGCAGGTATCGTGAGTATCTAAATGTTAGAACCTACAATGCATCCTAGTGAGATGCCCACACTGTGAGATGCCCTCAGAACCAAGCCCACTGGGGAAGCAGCGATTCCCAGACCCTCCTCCTGTCTTCTCAGACCCCAGGCAGGGAGAGCAGCTGGAATCACCATCCCTATTGAAGCTGCAACTTTTTCACCCTTACCCAGAATTGAATGCGCCTGCACAGAACGGGCATGCAAGGCAACTCCACCCAGGCGGCCTTTGTCCAGTCCATGGAAACTGATACAGGCCTTACTGTCAGCCCTTTTTCTAGCTGCCTCTGATGGGTCTAAAAGCCTAACTTGTTCTCTGATCTTTGACCAGATCTGTCAGCCACGGAAAAATAGCCCCTTCCTTCCTGCTGCCCCACAGAGATGTGTCCACCACACACAGCCTTAGACACCGGGCCACACCGCAAATGGTCCAACTTGAAAGGATCTTTTCAGACCAAAGATGCAATTCCTGGGGCCAAAGCTCAAATCTAAACCATAGGGATCCTAGTTTTTTAAAAAGATCTATTGTCAAATTACAGAACACTCCAAAGAGAAGTGGCAGATGTCTGCATTACGGCAGTGGGTGTTAGCCGACAATGTCTTTCAGGCAGGTTTGACCCCCATCTTCTTCAGAAGGGTTTAGGCAGCACCAACGCAGTTCCAGGCTCAGTTAGGGACACCATAAAAAATAAACAAATCACCAGCCACCCTATCATCATTGGCGCTATTCTAGATCAATAGAATTTAATTGGCAATAAATCTGAGTTTATTCAATCCTTGAGGACCAAGGCTTGAAAAGTAAACTAACTCTTGTGGCTGTGAACGGTGATCTCAATTTTGCCATTAGATACCTCGTTGACTTACAGGCAAGACTTTCTACCTTGACTTTCCTTATGTATGAAATCAGGAGAAAAGAGACCTGTAGAGGTGCATGAAGAATAACAGAAAGGGAAAAAACATTGAGATACTCGCTGGCAAGGTCACTTAATTTTTCTACCCGGCAGTGTGTGCCATGCTAAACCTAATGGGGGAAAGTGAGAACACTGCCTTCATTTGCATAACTACAGGGCATCTCAGGGCTCATTTTTCTAAATCAGTTTGGCTCCGGGCATTGGGTAAATGGCATAGCCGAGCATGTCTCAAAAATACTAAAACAATAACCACTTGCAAGTGGAGACAGAGGAAATGGTGAGAAGGATTCAGATCTCAAGTCAAGTAGGAGCAGCTGGCGACCTGTCTCAGTGACAAAGCATTGCTTACAGAAGGCACTCTGCACTCAGCCAGTCCCTTTGTGCCATGTCACAACTGAGAAACCAGCCATCTGAGCTCCAGCTACACCCAGACTGTCCTGCTGGTACCTCAGGAGTGGCTCCGAGGCCCATCAAGGTTAAACACGTGGACGGCGTGAGAGGAAAATACATCTCAGGACTCCAAAATCACTAAGCCAAAGGGAAAAATCAAGATGGGAACTGCATTGGGCAAAGCTGCCTCCCATTTTATTTCTGAATAAGGCAGCTGCAAAGATAAAACCTAAACCTCTCACAGTTGGCTCACACGGAACCTCCCTGTTGGGTGGCCAGATCTGTACCCTAAAACAGTTCTGTTGAATTTCACCCTGGCAATGGAAATTGATAGCTTATCTTCTCAGGAACTGGACAAAGGACAGAACTCAAAGTCATCCCTCTGCTCACCTGAGACGAATGTGTATCTGATTGCTTCATGTGCCCTGTGTTTACATTCTTATATAAAAGTGTCGATTCAGTGAGCCAGACTAAGGCTAGGTGGCTTTTCCTCTACTGTAAACACACACGTAAACTGTGTATTTGGTGAAAGGCTGATCAAAGACCCAAAAGGATGCAATCGTTTGTCTCTTATCTACCTACACCTTTAAAAAATGTCTTCAGCCGGGCGCAGTGGCTCAAGTCTGTAATCCCAGCACTTTGGGAGGCCGAGGCAGGTGGATCACGAGGTCAAGAGATCGAGACCATCCTGGTCAACACAGTGAAACCCCGTCTCTACTAAAAATACAAAAATCAGCTGGGCATGGTGGCGCGTGCCTGTAATCCCAGCTACTCAGGAGGCTGAGGCAGGAGAATTGCCTGAATCCAGGAGATGGAAGTTGCGGTGAGCCGAGATCGCGCCATTGCACTCCAGCCTGGGTAACAAGAGCGAAACTCCGCCTCACCCATGCAAAAAAAAAAAAAAAATGTCTTCCTCTTCCCCCAATATCCACTCCTTCCCCTTTAAATATTAAGGCCTTCAAAACCATCTTTGAGGGAAGGCACAGACCTGCCTCCCAGGCGTGCATTCTTAACTCTGGCAAAATAAACTTTCTAAATTGACTGACACCTGTCTCAGATACTTTTGGTTCACAGTGGGTTAGGGAAACTGGGAGTGCGAAGCCAGGTGAGAAATCATCATCACATTTTGTGAACAGAAAAACCAAACTCTGCAAAATACCTTAATGAGCCAGTATAAGTGACCATGGCCGAGGCAGCAGTCTCCCGAGGGCCTGAGGAAGCTTGCCCTAGGTGGTCCAGCTACAGTTTGGTTTTACACATTTTAGAAGACACGAGTTACAAGCAAAGACACAAAGCAATACACAGAAGGTTCATCAGTTCAGCCTGAACAGGCGGGATATCTTGAAGGGGTTTGGAGGGGGTGGGGGTGCTTATAGGTCATAGGTAGATTCAAAGATATATTTACTGGTTTGGTTGAAAGAAGCTTTGTCTAAAGACTTGAAGTCAGTAAAAAGAAATGCTTAGGACAAGGGGGGTTGTAGGGGCCAAGGTTCTTGTTATACAGATGAAGCATCCAGGTAGATGCCTTTAGAGGAAGTAGGTGGTAAATGTCTCTTTTCCGACCTTAAAACTGCCAGACTCGCACTGAATCTCTCCTAGACCTTGGAAAGGTCTAGAAAGGAAAGGCTTGATTGCATTAATAGAAATGCTCTCCAGATGTAAATTTCTCCCACAAGAGATGGCTTTGCAGGGCCATTTCAAAATATGTCAAATAAATATGTTTTGGGGTAAAATATTTTTATATTCTTCAGGGTTTGCTCTCTGTTATGTGATACAATACCAGCGACAGGTAGGAATTTGGTACCTTATTGCCACAAAGAGTCTGTTTTGTCAGTCAAATGATCTCAACATTAATGCCGATCTGCTGTACCTAGATTCCAAAAGTGAGGGAGTATAATGGAGCATGTCTGAACTCCCATCCCATCATGGCTGGAAATTCAGGTTTTAGGTTTCTCTGGGGTCCTCTTGATGAAGAGGGGTTTGTTCAGTCAGTTGGGGGGCTTAGAATTTTATTTTTTGTCTACATGTCAAAAGGAAACGCCAAGCCACTAAAAATAACAGAAACCTTCCACAAGGTCACTAAGCACTCAGCTACCTCCATACACCACACTGCAGCTCATCCTTGAGCAGAAGAACTTAATTGTCAGTCATTTGGGTTCTGGGGTCCAGTTGCCCAGGTTCCTCACCCCAGCTTAGCTGTGGATGAGCTCTGTGATCCGACACAGCTAATTCTCCGATTCCTCCTCTATAAGCTGTGGGTGATGGTGGTGACGTCACTTCACAGTTTGTAGTGATGGTTAACCATTGCATGTTAATAGACCAAAGGCTTAGAACTGTTCCACAATAAAACATCCAGTACTTAGGAACCAGTTTTTGCTTGGCTCTTCTGAAACTTTACTAAGAAACATTTCAGGCATTCTAAAACATTTAAAAGGTATAAAAACTACATGATACTCCCCAGCCTAAGAAAGAAAACATGGCCATCACAGTCAAAGCCCCCACATACATTTCCCAGCCACAGTCCCTCCTTCCCACCTAGAGGCAACCATCCTGCTGAACTTGATAGCTGTCACCCCATGCTTTTCTGTGTACTCTTACTCCATCTGAATGCAACTGTAAACAAGGAGAAGGAACTGGAAGTGTCTTCAAGCCAGGACCAATACGCATGTCTTTCAGAAGGATTCGGATACAGTAGCCTAGCACAAAGTATAGTTTTGCAAGCACGCCCTCATTTGTCACCTTGCTGTCTGTGTCTTTTCACCTCCCTGAGCAGGGAACATGCTAATCTTTCTATCAGGGACTCTGGAGCCACTCTCTGCTGACCCTGCCTGCTCCCCCTCCCTTCCAGATGGAGATGCGGCTGCAGGACCAGCAGCTGGCCAGACAGCTCATGCGCCTGCGCGGGGACATCAACAAGCTGAAGATCGAGCACACCTGCCGCCTCCACAGGAGGATGCTCAACGACGCCACCTACGAGCTGGAGGAGCGGGACGAGCTGGCCGACCTCTTCTGTGATTCCCCTCTTGCCTCCTCCTTCAGCCTGTCCACGCCACTCAAGCTCATTGGAGTGACCAAGATGAACATCAACTCTCGGAGGTTCTCTCTCTGCTGAGGAGCCCTCAGACTGGGCCGAGGGGCTGGAGCGGAGTGCTTGGGCTGGAGGGATGTTGGAGGAAGCTGAAGCCAAGTTACTCCAGTGGGTCTCCCTGAGGCAAGGGTCCTGGGACTGGCAACTCAAGGGCCCCAGGACCTATTCAGTGGTGCTCTCCCAGGGGCCCTGGGTGTGGGTCCCAGTGTCTCTGTGACTGGCTCTTGCTTAATACCCAAAGAGCTCTGCAGAAGGGCCACTCCAACCAGATGTTAAATGAGACCTGGGTTCCCACCAGAATCCATCCCTCCATGGTCATGTTCCTGTTTCCTGGAATGACTGGTGCTATGAACTGGGATTCCCAAGGGGAGCCCCCCGACCCAAAGCTGTCATTCTTGCAGAAGGCTCTCCCTCAAGGGCCTTGGGGAAATTAGATATGTCAGATGTGCCCGTCTCACGAGCTGTTGCTGTCCTCTAAGTATTTTCTCAAATTAACCCTAAGTACATGACTCAGCAACAGGAACCTACCAGGAAAGGAAAATCCAAAGGCATGACAAATGGGCACTTTTGGGGGACGCAGCTTCTATGGCTGGCTGCCAGCATCCCTGGTGAGCCTGAGACGCAGGCTGCTGTCAGTCTCCCACCTTGGCACTGTGAGGCTGTGTAAATTGTAAATTCTGGTGTGTGCTGGGACGTGTGATGGGTGCACTAGTGTAGCTTGTGTGCAACAAGCACAGATGCCCCCATCATCTATCCTGGCTACATGCACCTCCAAAGAGCCTTTTCACCACCACCACCCCGCAGGGCGACAGCCTAGGAGACCACTGGTTACTGAACCAGGCAGGTCCTGAATGCATTTTCCATAACTGAATTCTCCTGGAGGGGCGTGACCGGGGGCCTCCTGGTGGATTCTGGTGGTGTCACCTAGGTCACCCCACTGCCCTCCCCAGAATGACAATCGAGGGAGCCCAGAGGCCCATCCTGGGCCTCCTCTGCGATTTCGTGCCTGACCTAAACACCAAGTTTTAATCGAGTATGTCTGTGAGTGATGTGTTGTTCACTCGTTAATAACCGATTTTTGTCCGAATGGGGAAGCCACTTGTGTAGGTCAAGTACAGTGTGTAGGATTTGATTTTAAGAGTTTCTCCCTCACAACAGGCTCGAGGATCGGCAAGTTAAGACCCCAGCAGGTTAGGGAGGTCAGTCTGGGGTCACACCGCATGGCAGGGGTTCCTCGGCCAGCCGGATAGAATCCCAAGATCAGAAGTGTTTTTGACCTTTGATGTCATCTAGTCCAGTCCTCTCGGTTTGTAAAGGCACAAAGTGAATCCTGAGGGACAGAAGGATTTCCCTCAGGTGGCACAGCTGTTTAGGCTGTAGAATATTGATGTGTGAAACCATTGTTGATTATGCCTAGTAGATCGCATATCAATGAACTTGAACCCCAAAGATGGTCTTCATGCTTTGCCAAACCCACACACTGCCAACCCCTCTACTCTCCACCTCCCTCAGTCCCCACCCCCATCTTCCCACGTATTGCAATTCAGAACATTTGAGTCAATGGAGAGCAAGGCATGGACGTGGCCCCACAGGGCATGTGTCACTAATCACTGTCCCAAAGTCTACACACGGTATGTGTCTGCTGTGTCTGCTGTGGCTTCTTCCTGTGTGATCCCACTGGGGCCCGTGTCCACCCACACATCTTGACCCACATAGGGGAGAGGTTGCTTTTCTTCCGTGGGCTGAGTAGGACAATGCATATGAAGGATCTCTAGGAGACGGAAAAGAGCTTGGTCTATGGCTTATAATTTCAAAGATCCAGAAGGTCTATGCTTCCTTGAAAGTAGGTAGAACAACGCAGCCAAGATCTACTGTCTGCCCTGCTGCGTGCAGTGAGGTCTGCAGCCCTGAGGACCATGCACTGCTGTCTCTCCTTGGAGCTCTGCACAAACACTGCCAAGTCCCGAATCGGCATTCCTTTCCTGCCAGCCTCCTTCCAGATGAACCCTTGAGGTCTCAGGCTGACCTGCACACACCCATCTACTCACACGACAGAGAACACGCCGTAAACATCCTTGAATCCACGCAGGAAAGCCCATCCCATATTCTGAAAAAATGCCAAATTAGGTTTTGCTTTCTTTTTAGAAAGCAGTCATCACAGTAACTGAAACCACTGGGTTCAAGTAAAATGGAAAGATTTAGTTGAATGTAGTCAATCCGATTAAGTTGGATGCAACTGAGTGATTTAGTTGCTTGGGTAACCCAGTGCTTGCTTGCCTTCTTCAATCTCTGGGAGAAAACTAAGATCAAGACACATATTTTGGGATAGACTGCTCAGTTCCTCCTGAGAGAACTTCATTATGGGATGAGGTAATGACCCAAGGTAAGAGGTGGAGAGGAAACAGCAATGTTTTCTAAGCATTGTCCCGCGTCGGCTGGCTTCCTTACTTTCCACAGTGAACACAACCACATTAATTCAGCTTTGTGAAGTTCCTGCTTTGTGTGGGTCTCTGCATCAGCAGCAACACTGGCCTAACCTCCATCCCACCTTCCTGGCTCACCACGTGTGTCTAGTGCTATTTGCAGTGGTACTCATTGTCCATCCATCTCTCCGCCATCCCCAAGCATCCCCGGGTGTAAAACAGGAAGTCTCTACCAATGCTGCCACCTGTGGTTGTGTCTGATGCCTTCAGGGGCTCAGTAGCCATCAAGAGGCCTGGAGGGCCTGGGCAGGCTTGACAATGCCTGACCGAGTCCAAGACCCACCCCCTGTAGCAATACCAAGTGCTATTACATAATCAATGGACAATTTATACTTTTATTTTTATGATTATTTGTTTCTATATTGCTGTTAGAAAAGGTGAAATAAAAATACTTCAAAAGAAGGTATCTGTACAAACAAAGAGAAACGCTTGTCCTTGTTGCTTGTCCCTGTTATCCACACACAGGGCCAAGCACTTAACTGAAAGAAAGGACGGATGAACAGATGGACAGATGGATGAATGGATGGGAGGGCGGGAGGGATGGAGGGCAGGAAGATTTTCCCAACCTGGTGACAGCATGGGAGGGAGGAAAAGATTCACCCCAATCACTCTTCCTCCTTTCTCGTGCCTTCCCCTTGAGGAAGCTTCTTGGTGGTCATTAGTATCTGGAGTTCCACAGGTGAGCTGATGTAGAACTTAAAAATGCAGTCTATTTTTTTTTTTTTTTTTTTGAGACGGAGTTTCACTCATGTTACCCAGGCTGGAGTGCAATGGCGCGATCTCGGCTCACCACAACCTCTGCCTCCTGGGTTCAGGCAATTCTCCTGCCTCAGCCTCCTGAGTAGCTGGGATTACAGGCATGCACCACCATGCCCAGCTAATGTTTTGTATTTTTAGTAGAGACGGGGTTTCACCATGTTGACCAGGATGGTCTCGATCTCTTGACCTCGTGATCCACCCGCCTCGGCCTCCCAAAGTGCTGGGATTACAGGCTTGAGCCACCGCGCCCGGCAAAAATGCAGTCTTTATTCCTGAGCTTGACTGAAGCCAGAGCCAAAGTAAACTCACTCTTCTCCAGTGGCCTTTTCCAAAGGTGATCATATTATTCTCTGAGCTCTGATGCCTCAAATTTTTTCAGCCACTTAAAGCACCTCTTAAACAACAAAATCAAGCATGCGTGAAAATCACCTGGGCTGCTGTCACAAATGCATATTCCCAGGAGAAGTACTAGGTTCAAGCCCCAGGGATTCTGGCTTTGTTGCTCCAGGCTTCAAAAATGCCCCAGGTGATGGACACAGGTGGTCCAAAGACACTTTGAGAAACTTCAGTAAGAAAAAGCAGGCAAGGGAAGGCACTCTTTATCATTGATCCTGTCCCTGTGTTCTCAGCAAAGGCCTATGTCAATGAGTCAGAGCAGGAATCACTAATCCTGTTTTGTGGAAGGAACAAGTGAACACTTCTGCCAATCCCTTGAGATGACATCCCCTGCCTACACCAAGAGACGGAGTGCCTGTGATGTCTCTTTCCACAAACAGCCCACAGTATAAGCTGCTGGGGGGAGTGTGGGGTATGAGTTGGTGGGGCACCAGTACTTAGGAATCTGCCATCCGCCTTCATCATGTGGTTCAAAGGGCACTCAAAAAGCCAGGGCCTTTCCACCCTGCAAATGGGACCACATGTGCACTTTTTCAGCCCAGAGGGAAACGAATGTGACCTCCAAACAAATCCAATCATTGTAAGTGCCACAGAGAAGATAAAATGTGAGACAGCGCCACGTGTGGAAGGGGCCACTTTTCCCAGGTGATCAAAGCTTCCTGGAGAAGAGCTATTCCAGCCACAGGGGCAGTTGTGCAGAGGTCAGGAAAGAGTGCCCCAGGAAGAAAAAGATAGTCCCAGCCCCCAAGGTCTGCAGAGGGAAACCAGTGCAACAGGAGGCCGCAGAGGCTGGCGGGGCCTCTCCAGCCTGGTAGGGCAGAGTCAGGAGTTGGGGTTTGATTTGGGTGGTGCAGGAAGCTTTCTGGGGTTTTTGAATGATACATTATCTGATTTAAACTTTCACAAGGTCGAAGCAGAAAGTACTTACTGCTGTGTAGACAGTAAGTCGGGAGGAGGCGGAGAAGTGGGGCCCAGAGGTCAAGTAGGAGCAGAGGCAGTGGACATGAGCTTAATCTAGACTGGGCAGTAGCTGCAGAGGGGGTGACAAGTGAGCCAGTGGACATTTGCTTGGGGACATACTTTGGGGACAATTTAGATGTGGAGTGTGACGGAAATGGAGGAACTAGGGATGGCCCTCCCGTTAGCAGGTAGATTAAGAAGGGGTGCCATTCACTCAAAATGAACGGGTGTGGAGGGGCCGCAGCAGCCAGGGTGCTGGTTCACAGTATATTTAAATGTCAATTCAATACAAGTGGGGAGTGAGTTGGACACAGGGCCTGGAGTTCAGGGGAAAGGCCAGTGTTAGAGACAGATTTGGGAGTCTGGATTCAGATGTTTGGATAATATTGAAAGTACTATACCTGGTAAACTCAGAAAAAGAGTATAGGAGAGAAGAGGGCTGCACACAGCATCCTCGGGACTCCAGTGTGTTTTTATTCATTTAGTTACTTTCACTGGATATTGACAAATTCTAATTGTATTTATGGTGTACCAAGTGTTTCTATATGTACAATGTGGAATGACTGACTCAAGCTAACGCACCCATCACCTCAAATGCTCATTATTTATTCCTCCTAACTGGAACCCTGCACCCTTGGACCAGCACATTCCCACGCCCTGCTCCCAGAGCCTCGAGTCCCCCCATTCTGCTCTCTCCTCTGTGAGTTAACTTGCTTTCGAGTCCACGTGGAAGTGTGCATGCGCAGCCTGGGTGTCATGACATTTAAAGATCTGATAGAGAAAGAAGTGTGCTCAGGGAATACTTAGAAGAAAAAAGTTAGCTATAGACCAAGCGA